CAACCAGCGTAAACATTAAGCCTGCCATTAATAAACCACCAATTGCAGTGGAATATAACTCTAGTTCAGTAGTGATTCCAGAAGAACGCCACATTTGGAATAAACCAGAGGTAATTTGAACTCCCTGGAATCCACCACCTACGTCGCCGTTCAAAATTTCTTGACCTACAATTGGCCAAACAACTTGAGCACTAGGTTTGATGTGGGTTGGATCACTTAACCATGCTTCATAATTGGAAAAGCGTGCACCATGAAAATACATTCCGCTTAACCAAATGAATATGACAGCTAATTGACCAAAGTGTGCACTAAAAACCTTACGAGAAATTTCTTCTAGATCACTAGTGTGGCTATCAAAATCGTGAACATCAGCATGCAGGTTCCAAATCCAAGTGGTTGTAGTAGGACCTTTTGCTAACGCACGAGAGAAATGACCTGGCTTAGCCCATTTTTCAAAAGAGGTTTTTACAGGATCATTGTCTACCACAATCTTGACTTCTGGTTCCGGTGAACGAATAGTCATTGAGATTCTCCTCTCTTCAGACGAGACAAAGGAAACACCTGCCCAAAATCATGAATCAGCTTCTGAGAGGGTAATATTTTAGAATTGCTACCCACTTTATTAAGTCTGTAACTAGAACAACTATGATACAGAAGTGACCCAGGACAGACTCCTAAATATATTATGACACACATTTAAGGTGCTTAATGGACCAATACATAAATAAGTGAAAGTTAGGAATTTAACCTGTATATTTACTAGGCAAGTAATAAAAAATGCGAAGTGAAGCAAATAATGGAAACTTTGCTATATTTTATATATTTTTATTTTATATCAAACATAAAGGACATTCTGATCAATTTGTTCGCCATACAACATACAAAAAAGAGAAAATATAGCAAACTACAACCGTGCGCAGGATTCCTGCGCACAGTTGTTATATATGCAGCTTGCCTCTAAAACAAGATTGTTTAGCCAACGAAAGGAGCTTCAACAGATGCTAAGTCTAGAGGGAAGTTGTGAGCGTTACGCTCGTGCATAACTTCCATACCTAGGTTAGCACGGTTGATGATATCAGCCCAAGTGTTGATTACACGACCTTGGCTATCAACTACGGATTGGTTGAAGTTGAAACCGTTTAGGTTGAATGCCATAGTACTGATACCTAAAGCAGTAAACCAAATACCTACTACAGGCCAAGCAGCCAAGAAGAAGTGTAGAGAACGAGAGTTGTTGAAACTAGCATATTGGAAGATTAGACGTCCAAAGTAGCCGTGAGCTGCAACAATGTTGTAAGTTTCTACTTCTTGACCAAACTTGTAACCAGCGTTAGCAGATTCGTTTTCGGTGGTTTCACGGATCAAGCTGGAGGTAACCAAGGAACCATGCATTGCACTGAATAGAGAGCCGCCGAAAACACCAGCCACACCTAGCATATGGAATGGGTGCATAAGGATGTTGTGCTCAGCTTGGAATACGATCATGAAGTTGAAAGTACCAGAGATACCTAAAGGCATACCGTCAGAGAAACTTCCTTGTCCGATTGGGTAGATTAGGAATACTGCGGTAGCAGCTGCAACAGGAGCAGAGTATGCAACAGCGATCCAAGGACGCATACCTAGACGGAAGCTAAGTTCCCATTCACGACCCATGTAAGAAGCTACACCTAAAAGGAAGTGAAGAACGATTAGTTGGTAAGGACCACCATTGTATAACCATTCATCAACGGAAGCAGCTTCCCAGATAGGGTAGAAGTGCATACCGATTGCTGCAGAAGTAGGAACGATAGCACCAGAAATGATGTTGTTTCCGTATAGAAGAGAACCAGAAACAGGCTCACGGATACCATCGATATCTACTGGAGGAGCTGCGATGAAACCAATGATGAATACAGAAGTTGCAGTTAGAAGAAGAGGTACCATCAATACGCCGAACCATCCGATGTAAAGACGGTTTTCGGTGCTGGTAATAAAGTCAGAGAAACGACCCCATAGGCTTGCGCTTTCGCGTCTTTCTAAAGTAGCAGTCATGGTAATTATTGGTTAATAAAGTAATAAAATATGACTCAAGCTGCTTATAAGCTTGTTAGTATATATTATTACACAGAGAGTGTCATATGTCAACCTGATTTTTTATTACAACTCTTTTTATCGATGGTATCTCTATACAATGTTCGAAAGAACTTCTTATAATAAAAAGGATTGCAAAATCAAATCCCTATGAAAATATAGACATCATTGATGTCTATGTGTTTATTTGTATAAAAGAATTCGAAAAAACACTTTGGTTTTTTCCAATTTACAGTTACTATAGTATCAGAGTTATGGATAGCAGCAAGGAAACTAGCTGCTTCTACCTATAAATTTTTGAAGAAAAATCAGACCATGCAAAAAAGAGATGCTTGTAAATGGATACGAAGATGGGTGGGGCTATCAATCTCAATCATAGTTATGGCTTTGCCAATGGCTTTGCCATTAAATTCGGAAGCATTTCCGATATTTGCACAGCAAAACTATGAAAGTCCTCGAGAAGCGACTGGACGCATTGTATGTGCTAATTGCCATTTGGCAAAAAAACCGGTGGATATCGAAGTGCCACAAGCAGTTCTTCCCAATACTGTTTTTGAAGCAGTAGTTAAGATTCCGTATGATACCCAAATTAAACAGGTATTAGCCAATGGTAAAAAAGGGAATATCAATGTAGGCGCTGTGGTAATCTTACCGGAAGGCTTTGAATTAGCACCTGAAGATCGTATTCCTCCAGAAATGAAAGAAAAGATTAATAATCTTTACTTCCAAACTTACAGACCCGAGCAGAAAAATATTTTGGTAGTAGGTCCTGTACCTGGAAATAAATATAGTGAAATGGTATTTCCTATATTATCTCCCGATCCAGCTACTAACAAAGAAGCGTCTTTCTTAAAATATCCAATCTATTTAGGTGGGAATAGAGGACGTGGACAACTTTATCCTGATGGTAGCAAGAGTAATAATACAGTTTTTAGTGCTTCTGCTTCAGGAACAATTAAGAAAGTTGTTCGTACTAATATCAAAAAAGGTGGTTACGATATAACCATTATTACAGCAGACGGTAAAGAAGTAATTGACGTTATTCCTCCAGGACCAGAATTAATTGTTTCCGAAGGAGAATCCGTTAAAGTTGATCAACCATTGACTAATAATCCAAACGTAGGTGGTTTTGGACAAGCAGAAACCTCCATAGTACTGCAAGATCCATTAAGAATTCAAGGACTTCTTGTATTCTTTGCATCTGTAATTTTGGCACAGATTTTCCTAGTTCTGAAGAAAAAACAATTTGAAAAAGTACAACTTGCTGAGATGAATTTCTAAGTAAATAAAGTATTGATGTGGAAAACCACAGGAAGCGCTCGATTATCTTTTCTATAGATCGTATGAGTCCTAATCAATGAGCTTAGATCTAAAGCCTCTCCATTTACAACGTGTAATGATGGAGTGCTTAAATATTGAGAGTTTTGAACACTGTTATTTCATTCCTGTTTTGGCACAAACAGCAGAATACTGGGGAGATGCTCAAGTAGCATCTACCTGTAATCTTATGTCACAACAGGTAAAAGAATATTTTGATCATGCAGCTCATGTTCATTTCTATCTAGCAAAACAGCATAGACATTTGAATCAGAATTTCTCTATGCATGATCAGTATTATGGTTTGCTAAATACCATAAAAGTAGAAAAAAGACAAAAAGATCAAAAAATCTCTCAGTATCAAAGTGATATCTTCGATTCTTGTAATGAAACCACTAGAAGCTTGAAATCAATTCATGGAACACATTTTTTTCTAAATAAATACGAAAAAGAAAAAAAAAATATATTGAAATCTTTAGAAGAAATAGACAACAACCTTTGGGAAATTTCAAAAAAAATAGAAGAGAATCTAGAAAGAAAAAATATGCATCATAATATTCAAAAAACTTTCTCCTCAATGCCTAGAAACTTTCTAGATCATGATGATTTTTTTCTACTTTTAAAAATTTTACGACATCGTAAAATTTGGAAATCAACTAGATGGTATCCATTAGTGTCTAAATTAACATCTAATGAAAAAATGTTTCATATATCACGTCTATTTATGCAAATGTCTCAATCGGAGAAAGATATTAGTAGATTATTGATGGAATTAATGCACCAATAAATTTATTGACTATACTGTTTGCTTTGAAATGCAAATATCAAAAGAAATTCCCCAAAGGAAAGATTTTCCCTTTGGGGAATTTCTTGAAGAAGTCCCTTTTATTGAGTAGACACAAGATCAATACATTTCATTTAAGCTCGTTACTCAATTCCCTGGTTAGGATTCTACTCTTAATTATAGGGAAGAACCTAAACCAACATAAGAGCCGTAAAAGAAAAGGCCCACTAGAGTGGTGACAGCAATGCCTGCTACTGTCCCTATAAACCACAACGGAATTCTTCCTGTAGTTCCAACGTTAGACATCTGTTCTACTCCCTTCACATCTGCATTGGAGGTCTTGGCTAAAGATCATTACAGCCACAAGCAACAAAGTAACTAAATACGAATTTTCCAAATGAGGCAATAACCAACTATTATTACTAGTTAAAGAAGTAGCTAGAAAAGAGTACTGCAAGTACAAAAATTAGTAGCAGTCCCCAAAATAAACTAGTACGGTTTAACTCGACGTTTTGCTTGTTCGGGTTTGGTTGTGTCATAATTGTGCGCTTTATAAAGAGCTTACCTTTGAATGAACTGCATTGCTGAGATAGAGCCCAAGAAAAAAACTGTAGGCACAGCTAGCCCATGAACAGCCAGCCATCTAACCGTAAAGATGGGATAAGTTCTATCGATAGTCATTTAATATCTCCTATAGCGATCTGGTAAATTCGTCTAGTTGCTCTAGAGAGTTGAAACGTCCAGTAATTAAAGGAACTTCTTGACGACTCTCTGTAAAGTATTCGTTAGGACGAGGACTTCCGAATACGTCATAAGCAAGACCTGTGCTAACGAACAACCAACCCGCTATAAATAGCGAAGGGATTGTAATGCTATGGATAACCCAGTAACGAATACTGGTAATAATATCTGCAAAGGGGCGCTCTCCCGTATTCCCAGACATGGTTAGCTCCGTGTGTAAAGATAAGACAAAGTATAAAGTTAATAAAGAATGTGAGCTGTTTAGGCTCTTTTCTATTTTGTCTTATCAGGTGGTATTATACTAAGAGTATTTGCAAAACATGCTAAGTAAGTATAACCAAGATACCTTTCGCACAGCAAGGCACTTTGTCCCATTGTCAGTTAATAGTATTTTACAAAAAATACGGTGAGAATATACAGTCACACATAATTCGATAAAAAAAAATATCAACTGACTTGCGACAATTATTAAAAAGAAAAAACTATCTTCTTTTTTTTATAGAATAGGAAAAAGTATGCAAAGTATCTTTCTAGTACAAAAAAATATCAATAGATGATTTTTGTAGAAAAAAATCAATTAGTTAATTGAATTCCATACATTCATACACCAAAGATCTCCTCATTCCTTCCAATCCAGGAGAGGAGATCTCAAAACTAACACTTTATTTTTAGTAAACAAGGGTTCCTGAATTAGAGTTCCTTAGACGATTTCGTCTTGTTCAATGTACAAGAAGAAAGAAGCAAAAGCTACAGCTGGAAATACTAAACCTACCAAAGGAACCAAAATAGAAGGTAGATAGGAAGCGGTCATGGATGTGTTCCCTCATGTAATATATACCTTGTGAGATAATTTATCACAAAGTAAATTCTTGAATATCTAAGATATGAATCTATGTCTAATTTACTAAATAAATTAGTGGACCTAAGAGTCTTCTCTGTATCTCATAACTATTGTTAAAAAATAAGTTCTCAAGTCATACTAGTATTTATATGACTTTTGATAAGAGATACCATCTATATCGAATCGAATTGAGAATAGAAAAACAATCGTTCTATAAAATAAACGCTTTCTGCACTGATAACGTCTAACAGACGATTATATAACAAGTTTATGTAATACACAATCTATTCTGTATTACTATACAAAAAATATATCATTAACATACTATCAACATGTTATTGGGATTTCTTTTGTATTTTTACAAGGAGCAGATTTATAAAGTTCAAACAATTCTCCTAACACACCTTTCAAAATGGCTCTAGGAACAATTAAATCTAATAATCCATGATCTAATAATGATTCAGCTACTTGAAACCCGTCAGGTACTTCCTGTCGTAAAGTTTGTTCAATAACACGTTTGCCAGCAAAAGCAATATATGCTTTCGGTTCAGCAATAATGATATCACCTAACATACCAAAACTAGCAGTAACACCTCCTGTAGTTGGATAAGTAAGAATAGATATATAAAGTAACTTATGTTGAATTTGATGAATTTGTAAAACAGAAGCAATTTTTGCCATTTGCATTAAACTTAGTGTACCTTCTTGCATACGTGCTCCTCCAGAAGCACATACAATAACAAGTGGTAATTTATGTTGCGTAGCATGTTCAATTAATCGGGTAAGTTTTTCGCCAACTACTGATCCCATACTGCCTCCCATAAATTGGAAATCCATCACTCCTAATGCAATAGGAGTACCATTCAGTTCTCCTACACCAGTTTGAACAGCATCTGTCAATCCTGTACGTATTTGATTTTCTTCAATCCGATCTCTATATGATTGTTGATCGAAAAAATCTAATACATCACAAGGAAGCATATCTTCGTCCATAGGTTCCCAAGTACCAGGATCAATCAGGAGTTCAATTCTTTCTGTACTATTCATCTCTAAATGATAGCCACATTCTTCACAAATACGTTGATTTTGTTTTAAAAATCGTACATATAGCATGCTTTCACAATTATCACATTGTGTCCATAATCCTTCGCTAGGATCAGATTCTGGATATTTTGGCTTTGGCGTAGTAAGTAGTTTAAGCCTACGTTTTTCTTCAAACCAATCAACTAATGACATAACTAAAATCCTCCTTGTTTTAATAGAAGCACAGTCAATACTTATTGAGAATAAGCAGAACCGATTGTAATATATTCAGTGTGATATATATATTATTTGCAACATAAACTTATTCCAAACTAACTTACTATTTATGTAAAATAGAAAAAGCAATGGAATGCAATACACCTTTCTTGAATAAAAACGTTCATTTTCCATGAATAAATTGTCTTCCAACTGAGTTGGAAGTATAAAAAAAATATATCCAAGATATCAGGAGACAAGGGGCTAAAATAACAAGGGATTAAGTATCTACGTATCTAGTCACACTTTGGTAGTATAATGGCATAATATAACAATATCAGGAATTTTGAATCGGAAGAAAGTATTAAACAAATCCTCATAGAAGAAGAAATACCACAAAAGGTCTCTTGAATTCTCAATCCAAGAACTGTTGTATTTAAAACCATCGGATGCAAGTAACCAAGATGAATAACTCGAATAAGAAAAATATCAAATGGATATACTTCGCCTAATGAATCATAGGATATCCAGAGGAATTTCTATTACAAGAATATTAGATGAAGTGCAAAGAAGAGTATGTTAACCTTACACAATTGATAGAAATATCCAAAACATTCTATTCAATCGAATAAACATTCCCCTACTTATAACTCTTCCAAAAAATAGAAAAAGAAAAGTTGCTCTATTAGATTAACGTTCAACTTATTATAGATCTCCATTCACAAGGAACTAAAAGCACATAAATTATTATAATAATAAAAGCAAAATATATTGCATATATAAGAACAAATAGAATTGCAGTCTTTATTTTTATAATGTTTATAAAAACAATGTGTCTAGAAATTGGCAGAATAAATAACAATATGTTTTTTTTCTAATGATAAATAGCACTCTGTAATGGGCAGGAAGGGATTCGAACCCTTAGCCTTATAGTTCGGAACCATATGCTCTAATCCATTGAGCTACAAGCCCATTCATAATAAATAATAGAAAAAAAATCTAAAATTTTCTGATTGTTTTTTAGAACCGAAATAGCGACTATTTTAAGATTTTTGAAAATGGGAAGATTTCTAAAAAATAGAAATATCAATTATGTATCCAAGAAGTTATGATAGATTCTTTTTCTGATTCTGATCTATCTTTTCTTAAAAAGAAAAAACACTATTCATAGTATAGAAATAGACAAAAACATTAATGGAAACATGCTTAGCTTAATAAATTGTGAACACTACCAAATAGAAATGGTAGTGTTCCCCGAAGCCAATGTTTTCAACACAGATCCGGGATCTATCAAAAAACTATGAGATAAAGGAATTCAAGATGCCCACTAGGAACACCAAACCAATCCATAGAGAAGCCCCGGAAAAAACTGTATTTTTGCTAGTTGACCAACCATCTGGTGAAGCAAGCACTACAGGCACACCAATCACCAAAAGAAAGGAAAGAATAATTAATGCGAATACAGCTAGTTGAAACAGAATTGTCATGGCTATAATACTCCAAACGTTTTAACAAATTGGATATGCCATACTGCTCAATCTCATAACAACGACTGTTGTGCTATATATAGCAACAACGAGTTAGATTGTGGAGAGCATCACGACTATGTTACTCCTCAGACCTCTTTGAAACTTTAAGTTATACTTTCTGCTTCAAAAACCACTTTTTTCTCTACTAAGAAATTCTATTCAAGAAAACAATGTAAGAATTTGAATAGAAGAAAGAAATTTCCTAGAAACTGATATATCAAGATCTAATATCCTTAAAGTACAAGTTTTCTTTTCTTGCGAGAGAATTTCATGAACGCATGTGAAATAATAAAACACAAAAGCATTAATGTCATATTCTCAAATTAAGCAATATGCTTATTCTCTCTTATTTTGTTATCTCATCACTAATAATATGAACTCTTGATTCTCATGTCAACAAGTTTTGTGATGATTTACAATCAATCCCTTATTTCCGATGACAGTTTCCCTTGAAATAAAAAAGACACATCTATTTCCGTGCCATTTCTCCCCTTCCAGATTTATTTGATCAATAAAAATATTGAATTCTATTTTGAAGAAAATTCCATTTAATATAAGTATATTTTCCGTATAGTCTTATGACAAGAATCTGTGAAAGACATAAATTTATAATATCTTCAAAAAAGATGATGAATTGACTTGAATAGAATACAAAAAATCCAATTTTG